GAAGGAAAAAAAAGGGAAGCCGAAAACGAATGGAAAACACACGAACTCTTTTATGCCTTCTCAATATTAATAATAGTGAAGAAAGAGAGAAAAAGGGAGAAAGGGAACGGAATTGTAGAGAAACAGAGGACAGTCAACTGTCGGAAAAAAATTTTTCTCGCAGAAAGAAAAGAGAAACAAAGTCGTCTGGAAATGTGTGTGCGTGTGTGTATGCAGAATATGTACAAAAACTGCACACATACATACACAACGGCTATCTTTATATATAGATATATATATTCTCTTTTCTTGAACTTCCGCAAGCGCGCCCGCTCGTTTGCTTACATGTGCTCCCGCTACGAAACGTTGCGAATAAGGAAAAGAACGGACGCTGTACAACATCAGATTTATGTTACGTCGTTGTAGAAATAACAAAGAAGAAAAGATAAAGAGTTCACCATTATACTACTATCGTCAGCAGATCGGAATCGTAACGACACCGAGGAGAAAGATTAATTCTTAGAACACAAAAGAACGAACGTTGCTATCCGACAGAATAGCAGAATTTAACAGCATATTTTCGAGTTTAATTGGGTTCCGACACACATTATGGAAAGCAAGGCATGCTCGACAACGATAAAAGAAAAGAGAAAAGAAAAAGAGGCGAAAAAGCGGACGGGATAGAAAAAAAAGTGTGTCTTGCGCTCGGAAAATTGACGACCGATGATGGCGGTGAAAAAAGCAGTAGTAGCATCTTCTATTCTACTCCAATGTTGTTCGTCAGGAACGAACGAGAGCGCGCACACATACGCAATGACGAAGAGGAAAAGTTGAGTGTAGTCATATAGGTTTTTCCGTATCGCATCTACTCCCGTTGGTGTATTTACTTTACGTGTGTGTATGTGTGCTCTCTCTCTCTCTCTCTCTCTCTCTGTCGGAGACTACATGAAGGCAAAAGTCAGACGTGTGTGCGCAACGATGACGAGCAAGTTATGTTGTGGAATATGATCTTTGGCTATGTGCACACGCCCGAGTGACAGTAACGTCATTTTCGCGCCATCCAGAAAGAAAAAGATGAATGATGAATGAATATGAGAAAAGACGGAAATGGACGTGTGGCCAAGCATAGAACTAACAAAAGTTGTTCGTGACAATAAATATATTATGAAATATAAAAAAAATATTCTTTGAAATGTATTAATCTTTATGTAATGAAATGTGTATGTAAAACAATATCATATCAACCTAATTGAGTTATTTGTATTTGATTATTAAATAAAAACAATTTGTACATTTATTAATAAACATAACAATAGAACCTTTTTTTTTCTTTTGAATTTTAACTTCATGACTAGTGGTACATTGATCTCTTGGTTAATTAATTTAACTCAATCATTTCTATATAGAAGAATAATCTAAAGCTAAATAATTCAATATGTCACTTAAACTCAAATAGATATTCATATTTTGAAAAAAGAAATTGTTTTCGATGATTTTATATAAACTAAGAAGATTCACTTATTTATCATTGATTGTTCATCCGCCAATTACGATAGTATCGTTTGTTTTTATTTATGCTTCATTGACTCTAGCCAATATTTATCAATGTAAACATGTAATCTAACCTGTTACTTTATAATACACAAATATACAAAAATGGGAGCTCGCTCATCTCGTGCAGATGTCAATGAATGGAATTGGAGTGAAATCGAACAAATGACTGGTTTATCTACTCAGAAAATTCGAGAAGTTCAACAAGATTTTTTTCAAGAAACTGAAAATGATCGAGCATTAAATATGAATGAATTTCTTAATGTTTACATCCGTTTATTTGGTGAAGAAAACCAACAAGACTTGCAACAGCAAACTGTTCGTGCCTTCGAAACATTTGATCGAGATCGTTCTAGTACACTTTCATTTGATGAATTTCTTAATGCTATTATCATGATGAATCATGATATACCTCGCATTGATCGTATTGATTATTTAATTCGTCAAAACAATACTTCCGGACGTCAACAAGGTGATGAACGTATTTCATCAGAATATGGTCATCAAATATTTCGTCGTCTTAATGATTATTATGATTTGCCACCTGGTACAGAACATCAATGTTGGAAACAAGTTGATCTAGAAAATCTTGGTTATGTTACTCAAGAAAATATTATGGATTATATTTCACAACAAAAAGCTTATAATCGTCATTGCCAAAATCTATTATAACTTCCATAGTCCATCTATATTTAAAACGAACATTAGTTTTACCATTAGAAAGTTTATATTTTTTTCTTCTTGTATACAAATTGACTATTATAATAAGAATAAATACATAATTCAACATAAAAAAAGAATAAACGATAGATAATTTTCGAAAGATATTTGTTCGATAAAATGCATCAAAAATATATCCTCAAGGTATATGATAAGAAAATCTTGTCTGAATCAAATCCTTCGATATTGACAAAAAAAAATATGTTGTTTACAGATAAGTTTTAATCATTGACCATTGCAATAAATAAATTTTCTGTTGACTTTTTATAATGTTTGATAAGTACAATTATTAATAGTGATATAGGCACAGAAAAAAAAAACTTAGAGATGTTACATAGATGTTGTTTATATCAAAATATGTTATTGTATATAGAAAATATTCATGTCAAAGAATTTTGTCTTCTTTTGATTAATGACTTTTATCGATATTTATTGTTCGATATTCTTTCCTATTCTTACATTATATTTCATAATTTATTCAATAGTTATATATAGATATATTGATAGGAGCTTGTTCAGATCGTACAGAATATAGTGAATGGATGATGAAACGACTAGCACCAGCAATTGGTCTATCACGTACCAAAATCGAATGTTTTTATTTTGATTATGCCCAGGTGGCTGGACATGATGGTGTAATGAATATGGATGAGTTTATTGTATTGTTGTCTACTGGGAATAAAAATGCAAAACATATGTCATATGAAAGAACACATTGCTCCAATTTTTCAAAAACTTGACCGAAATCTTACTCTAGTATACTTTCATTTGATGAATTTCTTAATGTTATTGTCATGATAAATCATATTGTAACATATCAGGATCATATAGATTATCTTATTCGTCAAAATAATATTGATATAAATCAATAAGATGATAGATTCATTTCATTAGAATGTAGTCATCAAGTATTTCGTCGTCTTAATGATTACTATAGTTTATTATAGATTGCAAAACATCAATGTTAGAAACAAAGTTGATTGACAAAATCGTAGTTGTATTATGCAAGAAGAATTCATAAATTACTAGATTTAATAATGAATGTAGAGGCCTGTTGTGTTCGAATGTAAAATGCCTGATGCCTAACTTTTTCAATCATAAATAGAGAAAAGTATATACTTTTAAGTTCATGTTTATAATATAAAATTTGGATTCTTTTAAAAACACTAAGAATGATTTGTTATCATCAAAATAAATATTTTCATACTTTTACTTGGTTTAATCTGCATTATGTTAATTGAAAAAGAAGAAGATGAGTTCAAACTTTGAAAAAGAAGGTTGAGGGATGTAAGTTTTCGGAAAATCTATTTCCTATTTTTCTACGTATACAGAGTAACCAGAAAACAGCTTAACAAGCCAAACTTTGAGTTTGTAAATGATAGAACAAAGAATACGTACCAAATAACATTCGACACCAGTTTCGATGCAATCATAAATTGATATCCCATTTGAAAGCATCACAGCAAACACATAAGACCAATAATATTTGAAAGAATTCCTTTTTTCTTCCACAGCATAGACATTTTTTTAATAAGCAAATCATTCACATTTTTTTATACAAGAATAAAAAAAATTATGTTTGAACAAGATAACGATAGAAAATATTACGATGAACGCAAAATCAAGAGATAACCATTTGATAGAAAGCTTGATCTATCTCATCCAGATCGTTGACGACACAAGCTATGCAACACTAAAAAAACTATTATTATATTAATATAGAAACATTATGTCCACATTATAATTCATTCGAAGAGAATATCGAGTATTTTACTTGTTATATTTTATTGATTTCTTAATTGCAACTTAAATCTAAACTTCATGTTGAAATTGAATATTCGAATTATTCAAATACAATTGTATGAGCCGTTGCGATTCTAATACACGGGCAATGTACTCAGACACAGCCAGTGTTTACATTGTGCTAAATATACACAAACATTGTATGCAAGTTATATCTCGTTGTAAAAATAATGTTTTCACGTATGATTGATTGATAATCAATCGCCATTGCTATTGCACATAAGTCATTCGACTACCACAGAGAGTGTAGATATGTAGAGTTTGCGCACGAGAGTCTTCTTTTGAAGGAAACTCATATCTACAGCCTATTGAAGCCATAATCTACAATCACTGCATGAGCAAAACATCATTAATCCTCAATTAAGATATGCGTGGATAACTGTTAACAATTGTACCATTACTTGTCTCTTATAAATCAGGCGAATAATTTGAACAATCGTCGCGCACTACCTATGTAATTTGATAAATAGCTTTAGAGGAAGGGTGTGGGTATGGGGTGTGGATAACAATAACTACAACAGAATCTACATCCACACCCATACCCCACACTCATTTTCTTATGCAGTTTTGCTCGCTCTATCTAACCATGGGCAAATAAAAGGTTTTAAATTTTTGCTCAAATTTCGAATTAGTTTCACCTTACGATCAACAAATCACTTAAGCATTTCTTAGTCCCTCTACACATGATCACAACTCACTACTGTATCTTAGTCGTTAGGATTCATATACTGTCCCTCCCCATCCCTTTCCATAATGCCCTCAGTTCCCTGAACTTTCAAAAGACTATTATTATGATGATACTGTAGTTTCTAAGCCAGAAAAAAAGATTTTAGTAATACAATAAATCCTTAAGAATCGAGAATAAATAAACTGACGTATTCGGGTTAATTGATGTTCGTCTCTTCAACTCTAAATGTTCAGTATGTGTATTAATTATTGCAGTGTGGTTAACTTCCTTCGTATGCAATCCATTTGCACAAGCAACCAATGAAGCGCTTGGAGTAGACACAATTGACCCATTCTGATGGCAATTTACGAAAACCATAGTATGCACCAGCCAACTGACCATAAATAGCTGCTGTTGTATCAGTATCGTCACCAAGATTTACAGCTGCTAAAGCACCTTCCACAAACGTGCGTGTACTCCAAAAAGCCCATAATGCAGCTTCAAGAGAATTGACAACGTAACCTTTACCTCGTATTCCAGCATCATAACCTTTTTCTTTCTTGAATGATCCTTTAGCTATGTTTTCAATTTCCGAATCTAAAGGATCATTCTTCAACCATTTCTTCATTTCGGATGAATAAAATTCTTTACTGAGAAGTTTATCTTTATCTATATCTAGATTGTTCATAATGGCTACAATGAGAGCTCCGTAATAACGACATGCATCAAAGGCTTTCTTATCTCCGTGAGTAATTCGACCACTGATTCCAGAGAATCCAACGGCAACTTCTGGGTTTCGGTAGAAAAATAGAGGTACAGGTGCCAAACGCATAAGTACACCATTACCAGCTGCTCCATCTGAGCTGCAATAGATAGGAAAATCTGCAAGAAGTTGCTTATCTGATAGATAATCGATTCCTTCTAATGGAATACGGTGCTGTTGAGCGAAGACTTTTTGTCGATTTTCAAACTCACAAAGTGCTTTCCTAGTACTGTCACCAATATCAAAACAGTTTCCTGTCGATGACATATATCCATGTCTAAACCACCATTTATAGCGAACCAATTGATCATAAGGTTCGAAACCATGACGAGCCACTAATGAATTAGCTAAGCAAAGAGCCATGGATCCATCATCTGTGAACTAAACAAAACACGCAAAATCATCGCAAGGCTGCTAAACATTTATGAATTTCTTTTTTCCAAATCAATTTTTCATCTACTCATGTAGTATCATTACACTGATACTTGTCTGTGGTTTTCTTCTTTGTAGAAAAGTGATAGGTTTGAATAAGTATAGTTTCGTTATACTGTCTAAAATATTGAAAATCTTGAATACTTCTGATTTTAAAAATTTGATTAAAATTGCTCTCGAATTAAAAACAAATTTGAGTTTCTGAGGCAGTTTTCACAGTTCCGATCGATTTTGACCTATCATGAAACCGAAAACTCAGATGTTTATTTATAGATGAAACATATAGTACCCGACCTATCGTATTATGTTTCATTTCGATGAAATGTAATCTTAATAATGGGTGGTTAAATAATAGAACCACGTCACCATATTTATTCTCAACATGTTATTTCAAATTTCATCATAATTTTAATACAACTCAAGAAATCGACTGATCATTGACTTTTCTGTGTTACCGCTATCAAGAAGTAGTCTCAGAACATGAAGTTTGATACAGTTCAAATGTATGTTTTTAGCGCTTTCTAAAAAAAACAAGTAAGACTCCCGTTCTTAATTAATCTCTTTTTTTTTACCAGTGATTATTGAGTATTTACGTAGGAAATCATTACTATTTGTCTTTCGAAATATTCTTTACTTCAGAAAAGCTTCGCATTTTCATTGATGAGTGAAAAATATATTGCCCACTTTACTCGTGCATCACTAATTAAAATTAAATACAAATCGTTATCGAAATCAAGTTTCTCGAATATTCAATCTGATGGCGTTTTTGAGATCGTTGACTTGCTGAAGCAAAAAAGTATGCAGATATTTACATAGCTATGAAAATAGGTTGATTCAATAGAATCTCGCTCTCATTTATATTCCTTACACGAAAAATGAAGGCTAGGAACTCTGTGCTTTGAAAAAAAATTTAAAACTTCTCTATCGATATTCTTTCTCCTCAAATAAAGAAGCTCATAGATGAAAATAGACTATGGAACGTCAAAAGCTACGTGTTATTAGACTTTCCATCTCATAAACAATCAAAACGAGTTTAGTCAAATTTACCTGTCCTTTCTCGAGGCCCCATGTCCCGCCCCCTTTTAGATCAGTAACTGGATTAGCATGCAAATAGCTGTGAGGTCTGAATTCGACATGAGCACCAAGAGCATCTCCCAAAACTAAACCAAACATTGAGCCCTTAATACGATTCAGAATGTGTTCATCGATTTTTCCTTTAGGATCACTAAGATATTCTTCGTATTCATTGGGTTTGATGATTGTTGTACCTTCTTCATCTTTGAATCGACATTCTAGCCAACTTTTGTCTATATATAAAAAAAACCAATTGCATGATGTTGTCGGATCGTATATCCAATGAAATTCAAAGCAATCCAATAGTTCAGATGATTAAGAAATATGACTTTAAAATATTATTCAACATTAGGAATGATCTATTTATTTTTTATTTAGTGTTAATGTTAAGTGATTTTCATAGTTATTTTGCTCATTCAATCAAATTTTTNCAAACATTGAGCCCTGAATACGATTCAGGATGAGTTCATCGATTTTTCCTTTAGGATCACTAAGATATTCTTCGTATTCATTGGGTTTGATGATTGTTGTACCTTCTTCATCCTTGAATCGACATTCTAGCCAACTTTTGTCTATATATAAAAAAAATCAATTGCATGATGTTGTCGGATCGTATATCCAATGAAATTCAAAGCAATCCAATAGTTCAGATGATTAGGAAATATGGCTTTAAAATATTATTCAACATTAGGAATGATCTATTTATTTTTTATTTAGTGTTAATGTTAAGTGATTTTCATCGTTATTTTGCTCATTCAATCAAATTTTTTATACTTAGGTTTTTCGGGCTCGAGCTCAGCTAGAACTTTGCTACAGAAATGAAACATAGAATTTACTAGTTATTTTACGTGTATAGTTTTTTTTCTCATGGAAGACAATAAGTGTACTTAAGAGAAAGATAAATCTAACTACTTTAAAAACTATTAAAGATTGATCAGTAAATATAAACTTAATGTACCATCCTTATTCGATAACATCAAAGGTGTCATGCCTCTGTAGTGGATCTTGCATTGCATTAAAACAAAGTTTGTGATACTTTCGAAACAAAATTAACCCGAAGTACGATTTATCAAAATCAAAAAGTGGATATAACCTTATATAAATTACCGAAAGATTATAAATAATAGCATGGAAGTTATCATAATGATACGTTTCTGTATGGCATTTAGTCTACTATCATGTTTACATAGTTTATTTTTCATAGAAAGTATTTTAGTCAAATACTATATTTCCGTATCATTTTAATCTTCATGTTATTTAAGTACGATGTCAGTATTTCAAATACTTGTTATAAGCCGAACGAGAGAAAGCCTAATGCATCACAATAGGAAACATTTGTTTAAAAAGTTTTCAATGCTGAAAGTGCTACTTTGCCTGTTCATTCTTCTTCCCTTATTTCTTTGTTATTTAATTATTTAAAGACAACCATAGTTTCCAATTTCGAGAATTTCTCACTTGTCACTTTTCACGTAAAATCGGATTCCAATCACAGTAATCTAAGAGTTATCAAGGATTGATTCACTAATCGTGTTTGGCGGGTTCATTTCTGAAAAGCTCGTGCTGCGGTTTTTCATCTATGGATCTTTCAAAGAAATCATCGAAAATCTTCCTCGACAATGTCATTTAAGAAGCAGATGAGCTTATAGTTCATTTGTCCGAAAATGGCTTGTTAATTCCTTTCACATATGATAGAAATGCAATGAATTTCAACAATGGACACTTTTTACAGAAAAAAGGAACTTCATCAACGGAAAGTATTCAAGTCGGAGCGTATGATTGCCACTATAGAACATGAGAAGATGTATAGCCGCACCCACAGCGAGATTTTCCCGAAAAGCATCCTACTTCGCTAAATAATACTTTACAGTATTTAAAACTATCGTCAAACACTCTAGATGCTTTCTTTCCATTCTAAAGTGCGATGTGCTACTGGATTAACCTAATGGTCGATTCAGACGTAGATTCATTTTCCGTGACACCTTTGAAGGATTCAGGAACGAAAACCTTCAATGTTAACTTTCAGGAAACATATTCGCCAGCAAAGATCTGGGAATTATTTCTGATCTTGTCTAATTGAATCTGAAGAGTATCACAAAATGTTTTATCCGTCCTCATTTTCTCTTTTTCGGCAGCAAAAACAGAAATGGTAATATTTCAAAATTGAAAAATAAATGCTTGCCCACATGGAATAGTTCATAGAACTTAGAAAAATGTCATTTTTTTTTATTGCTTTCTAATTTCTTTTGATTTGCAAATAGTAGAACTCATAAAAACGAATTTTTCTATATAATAAAACTTCATAAAACGTTTCATCTCTTGAAACGGACCTTGAATGATAAATTTTTTGTGATCGATTGAAATAAAGTTCAATTCGTATCATGAATCATATGACAGAAAGTTCAGTAAAGTTTTCACTGAAACATTTTTGAAACTTTCAATGTTGATAAATCTTAGACAGTCATCAAGCAAACGTTTTACTAGATTTCGCCGACATAGGACTTCCTTCAATTCAAAAAAGAAATGGAAACACCTAAAAATGAAACTTAATCATATCTATGTCTCCTACAAATCGTATGTACTTAAGATGAAACCTTTTTTGCTTGACAATATTAAGAAAAAAAAAAGAACTTTCTTGATTTGTTTTGTAGAGATTTCAGTTTTGAAAAAGATGCAAGTCAATTTATAATGAATTGTTATATCTTCACCTCAAAATGATCTGATACGAATTGTGTTGAGCATTGTATGAACCTCCTGATTGATCCACAACATAAACTCCAAATACAACCTAACTATCATCAACAAAAAAAAACTTCGAAGTCATACTATTAATGCAAGAAAAAATGACTGTTGTGTTGGGGTGCAGGACAAGTGCTGAAACCAGATATGTTTAAACTTTCTCACATAGTTAGGTTAACTTCCCTTTTGATATTAGTAAAACGACTTCCGAATTTGAAATGCTGTATCCATTATAAATTATGTCTCACCTGATTTGAATGCGCATAATTGATGCGAGGACGTTGCCAATCCAAAACCTAGAAACAATTTTGAAAATATAAAAGATACATTGAAAGAACATAAGCTCTTATTTTGGGTCATTTACCTTTTCTCAGATAATGTTACAAAACTTACAAAGTAGTATTATAGCACTCGACCTCGTGAGTCTAACGATATAGAAATTTTTGTTGAAAAGTGTTATTATTACAGGTACTCATGCTATTTGATATTCTGCCAAAACCATAGGATATGAAGGTGAATTTGAGAGAATATTTTAGTCAAAACTACGCAGCCCCATTAGACATACCAGCTCAAACACTGAAAAACTATATAAATTTGTTGCCATTATTTTGAAAAAAAATGAAACTACTCAAAATAAGGGATTATGCGTTGCCGCACTTTAGATAAATTTTATTGCAATTTATTCAATGAAACATCATGAACAACGATGAAGCAGAATAAATCTCTACTCGGTACCTAGCGACGAACAACGCAGATGTTTTATATGTATCATTTTATATACAATGTGATAAACAGGTATGATTTTTTATTTTAAGAACTTTACAAGTTCTTTTCTGTTGGCTTCAAATGATATGTCAAAAACTATATTTGACTGAAAATCTTACACTTACCGAAAGATTCATCTTTTGTAAAATGCTGTTTTGTTTCTAGTCGCAGGATATCTGATCGAAGTATTTCATCATTTATTTCTTCCAAATCAATCTCGTCAATATTAAAATTATTATTATATGATACATCATTTACACGTAAACGAGTACCCGGTAATAGGACAATCTCGGTTTCATTGCTATTACATGAATATGCCGATATATCTTTACCATTGAGAATTTTAATATTCAATAAAGTCGACTTTTCACCCAACAACGAAGAAACGATATCATCTGGCGTTTGTGTACATGATGTGATACCCCACCAAGTAATTATTTTTTTCTTTGGATATTTGTCTTTAATTTTGCTAGTTATACCTTGAAAAACATGCCCTTTGACAGAAGGTAATTTGTTAAGTGCTGAACAAATTAGTTCGAAGTAGTTAAACCAATATTTCTTGAGATCAGTTTGATCTTGACATCGCAATACTCGGTTAAGCATACGACTGAAACTTTCGTTATTAAGCTGCATAGTGTACAAATATATAGCTGCCGATTCGTCAACAGTAAGTTTATTTGAGGAAGTCGTGTTGGCACATTTTTTTACATGTCGTATATAAATATCCAAGCGAGGAATAACATTTTTAATCGGATTGAGAGCATCTTCCAGTGTTAGATTCCGCTTATTTTGATAACCTTCGATAGGTTTTAATGTCTGATTCTCACAGTCGACATCAGTGAGCCGAATAATCAAAGTGTAGATGCGACCTATGGTAATTTTGTTTTTCATATTATTTAATTTAATTCGGAATAAAAAGTACCACGCTTAGGTACTACATACGTAATAGTCAATCTCATAGAAACTATTAGCGATAAGTCAGACAGCATTTTATAGAGATATCAAAGGCGGCTAGAAGTAATCAGAAGCGTAATAGGTTTTGACAACTATGGTGTAATATGGTGATGAATATAAATACTGCGTAGTAGAACAAGTAAAACTCTTCTTATATTATTGATAAACCAAAAGCTCCTAGATAATATAATTCTTCAAAGTTTTTCATTCATAACAATATCAAATTTTGCCCTAGAAGGATGAATACTTGAGGGTGTGGGTGAGTGTGCGTGTGGTGAGGGTGTGGGTATGATTGTGAGCGTTGCATTGGTCCACACCAATATCCGTCCCAAATCCACACATTCATCCACACCCACACCGAAGCTTATCGAATTTTGTGCTCTGAAACCGACAACTATGTGTTCAGTGGCACCCAAGATGATAACCTCGACCCAAAATAGCCTCCCGTCATTTTGTTCGCTTTTCTAGTGATATGTTAAGTCAAAGTTCTGAACTTTGTCAGAAAGCGTTTTCAGGAGTTTTTTTCTTTGACATTTATCTTTCAATGATTTTTGTAGTAACTTTTTTTGTCATTTTCGTGTTGTCTGTAATAGGAGAGCTTCAAGTAAGATTTAACGATGACAATTCGTTCCATTGATTCCACCGATTTTTGTCTTTCATTTTCACCATTACTGGAAGTTGAAATTAATGGAAACATGAATAGCAAACGCAGAAACCCGATCATCTTTGCTCTTCCTTACTTTCTCACTAGAGCACTACAGCAGTTTTTTGTCAACATCAGATAAAAGCTCCGTTTAATTTGGAAATGTATAAGCGATGCTTTGAAATGGAGTTCTTTTGACTTCTGAGAGACGTACTGTGGTCGGAAAAATATATTTTTCTATCCAATTCTATCGAAAAAGGGATTCGATCAGAATAAGTAGTGTTATTTTATGAATCCTACCGCACATTTTTTCATTCGCTTTCCTTGCCTATGTTCCAAGAACAATATAGCTTTTTCTAAAAGCTTTCAGCTCACAAAGTCCCTATCGAACTCATATTTATAGAGCCTTTCGCTTTGGTTCAAAGATTCTATTCCGGATTGGTTGAAGTCAGAGAAAACTTATTTTGAGTATTTTCAATACGCGTATGACTGAGTACGGGTGAAAAGAAGATCATAATTCATCTTATACACATTCACAAGGGAGGACTGCCAACTGGTCAATCGCTATTGCGTTGAGTCTATCTGCACTATGTAGGTTCAAATGATCCATAAACGCCGTGAAAAAAGTTGGTAGGGTTAGTTTATTGTCATCGACAAACTGCACTTGTACGATAGTTTTTTGGATGAATGCCATGTATCCCTTAGGAAGACTAGAAAAACTGATACTTTAATTTCAACTTGAAACTTTACATAGAAACGGACCTTGACAAGAATAATTTTTTGTGGATGTTTCAGATCTTTTGATTTGTTTCTATTTTGAAATGAGAACATCAAAACTGCTGGCTTATCTGAATGATGCAAAAGACACATTGTCACTATAGTTGTATCTGCGGATTGGAACATCAACAAGATCTGAAACAATCACAAAAAGCTACTCTTGTCAAAGTTTGTTTCTATGTAAAGTTTCAAGTCGAAATTCCATAATCAGTTTTTCTAGTGTTTCTGAGGGCAACACCGCATTCATCTAGAAAACTACCGTAAAAGTGCAGTATCTCCGTAGCAATAAGCTAACCGCACGAACTTTTTCAGGACACTCGTAGCTCATTTGGATCTACACAATGCACATGACTTCAACATAAAAGCGATTGAACCGTTGCTGGTCTTCCATCGTCATTCATGCCTATAAACACTGTTGAGGAATGAAAAGAAATTGTTCAAACAAATTTGAATGGAAGAATACAATTGAAAAGGCTATAGCAAAATATATCGCGTTGCTTGACAAAAGAATGAGGAATTACGCGATCCAATGCTGATGAATGAAGGGCAAAAGAAGCATCGCCAAAGACACTAAAAATGAGAGGGTTGTACCTTAGTTTTTCCAATATTGTATATAATTCTGAATTGAAACTAGTGCACTCATTGGCATTAAATGATATATATGAAAAACGGTGGGGTCAAAATTTACTAATCCAGTTTGACTTTCAAACGAAAGACTGGCGTGAACTCTTTACTTTAAATACCCTTCAGATGAGACTAAGCTGATTTTGCTCTCCTATTAATTTCATTCAGAGTTTTACTACTTACCTGACGTTTTTTCGCACAAACATATATCTTCCACTGTAAATAATGAAACAGTACAATATGGTATCTGTCTTGATTTTGATTCTAATGTCACTCCTGCGGTAACAGCATGTAATACCTTTAAAATATCTGTGTTAGGCTTAACAATATGTTTCAGAAGATGCTTCGTAAATAAGCCATTATCTTGCTCCTCATTGTCATCTGCTTCGGTTCCAGGCGCACAGGCAAATCCAATCAACAGTCCAACTTTTACAATTGCTCTCTGATCACTGATCCAAGAGGTCTTTGGTAAAGGGTTTTTCGCAGTCATTTTCTTTAAATTAGGATTACGAAGAAAGTGAACTCGACAGCAATCTAATAAACATAATGTTACAAATGGAAAATGACTACTGAAGTCGTCCACGAGTCCTTGCACATGAATCATATATCTTTTTAATTTTGCGAGAGTTATATCTGCATTGTCTTCCATTTGAGTTGTCATTTCATTCAGAGAGAACGCTGCTTGTTGAATACGAGCATCATCCTTGTTGGCATTTTCTTTTGGTATCAGAAAATTTTGATCCTACAAACGGCATGCAATACAATTTTTAGAGCTTGCCTGTTGTACCCAACATTGCCAAGTATCTGGATTCGTTTGGAAGAGTAAAACTTTTTCTTCTATGAGAGGGTACGAAGAATTTTTGACTGCACGAGAAAAAAAGACAACTTTTTCATCACAGAGTCTGGCCCTATATTTTCGAAAGACTCCCTCTTTTTTCAGTAAACCATGAAAACTCGCCAAAATAATAAAACTCTATTGAAATTCAGAAAGCTTCACTACTTACTTCCCACTGTATTCCATGTCCAGAAAAATAAAATAGGATCATGTCTCCCTCATGTATTGTTTGTTTAAACTTGAGAAGGACGGTTTCCATTTCGTCATGTGTTAGATCTGTTTTCTTTGTAACAATAAAACCAATATCATGAAGCGTAGATGCCATAGCATTAGCATCGTTTGCTGCATTTTTTAACTTTTTGGTATATTTGTAGTCACCAATACCAATTACAAGAGCTATTTTACGCCTTGATACAGTCTCTGGCTCATATTTTGCAGCAGCCATTATTAGCAGTACCTTGAGTCTAAAGAATCTTTATTGTAACACAGAATATTTTTTGAGTGTGGCTGTAGATGTTGGATATTCGTCTTGATTTTGGACCTGTGAGTGTCAGGATAATAATTGAGTTGCTTGAATATGCCTATGGGTGTGGGTAAGCGGTTTTCTACATATCGATGCCGTCATGAGAGTCAGAATCGCTCATCTGACCATTTTTTCCTTTTTCTTTGTCTGATTTCTTTAAGGTTGCAAAGCTTTTGTCGTCATGCAAAGAGATGAGTAAGTACCTGAAGCTTTCTTGAGTTATCGACCTATTATAGGTTCGCTGAAAATTTCTCTGTCCACCCAAAATCTTGTGCTATGACGAGAGAGAGTTCGGCCTCAAATACAGACACTTATCGAAGTGCTAAGCTTTTGCTTTCCTGACACCGATTCCAGTGATATCGAGCAGTGGATGTGGATGTAAGTGTAAGCATGCTGTTGGTCAAGAGGGTGGTGTGTGTTTGTTCATGGGTGTAGTTATTCGCGGGTGGTTGATAAAAAGGCTCGCACTGATACCTACAACAACACACAGCCAGCCACCGATACGCGCACCTACACGCTCACATCCACATCCTATAAAAATCAGAGATAGGACTGGTTCGATTTCGAACCGAACCGATTTTGGTTGAGTTTGAACTTTTTAAAAAACCAGGTCGGTTCGGTTCGGTTCAGTTCGGCTTGAACTTTCTAAGGACATCCCCTTTTCCCGGATTTCTTAAGAACTGTTTGACCAAAAGTTATGAAATTTTCAGGGTAGATAGATCTCGACAAGTAGAGTAAAAGTTGTCATAGACTCAGAATTCCCAGATGCTTTCTTATATGAGATTTAGGCGGCGCAGGTGCCAAACATTATCTAAAGTTCTCTCCCTCGCAAACAATCAAAACTCATTATTTATGGCCAAATTTTTCTGCGGCAACTAGGACCAAATTCGGGTGTATATTTTTTTTCTTTGAAAAATATTGTTTTCTTTGCTTAGGAGAACTGAAATACTGGGAGCTCTATCAAAAAACGTGTTTTTGTGGAAGTAAAATACTTTTTCGAAGAAAATAATGAGTGTAAGTTTGAAGTTTAAGTTTTTCGGCTCCCGGTTCCCATTGCAGACCATAACAACTCAGGTCCCCATTACAGACCTTAGCAACTGGTTTTAAATTTTGTCGAGTGTTCCGGTTTATGGGATATATGTGAATTCCATAGTTCATCTACAAAGAGGCTGCGCTAACAAGCTTTCTCTGTAGAGCAAATTATGTAAGCTCTACCAAAATCCGTCAGAACATTATTTCAAGAAAAA